ATCAGTCACCAACAACAGTTCTTTTCAGAACTACCCTCACCCGGACGATCACACTATACGAACTACTGATACTCCTGGGTTCAAACCATTTACTTTGAAACATGATAATTATGCAAATAATACTTGTGTTTTGCCGCTTGTAACGTTGGACAAATCTCTGACATCTTTTATCGCAGCACAATCAAAGTCAAGTGATTTTCCTTCCTTGACCTGATCCTGAATTATATTGGTTAGTGTACAAGTCACTAACAATAGAGTATCTGAGTACTGCCCCTCGCGGACTTTCTTGATCATCACTGCAGTTTCAAACAGTTAAAATATAAAACGTTTACCGTATCCCAGTTGGCATCAGGGCCAAAGCATCCCTTCCTTCTGAAAGACAATTCAGAGCTTTTTCCTGTACGTTCGTGTTTTAGATCGACCAGATTACTTGCTTCGATGGAAAGTTTTGGAAAAGCTTCCAGGATAAATCCCACTCTTGGATTTGATAATCACCGCTGGTTTTGGTCATATTAATGGGACCTGTCATTTTTCACCTATCAGAATGCTGCGTTCGTGAGCGAACGCGCTGTTGCCTTCCGTGCAGGCTCTCATTTCTCGTTCCAGGCCCCCACCAGCTCGCTTCCCTCGCCGAAGGGTCTCTCGCAACTTTGCTCATCAACTTTGCTCCTGCCGCAACAAATAAGAACCTGCTCGCAGGCTACTTGCATGACTAGCTGAGCTTGTCTCTGGTTTTCATCAGACTTAAGACAACTTTCTCTCGGTGTTCAGTTTGTTGATATTTTTTTGTCCTGTAACTCTTCCTCCCCAGTTCAAGGCCTGTATGACTGACATGTAAACTGTTCTTCTAGATATTTTACTGGTAAATAACGTGCATGTGAGGTTTTCCTACACAATAAGAATGATCTATGTATTTGATTAGACAGGCCACCTTACTGTACGTCATGTTGTTTATGTGATCTTCTATTTCGATATTTTTTTTTGGACAACAGGATCAAGCTTCAAGAGTTAAAAGTGCATAGTGCCAGTTGGAATTTCCAGACGAATCCGGTGACTCGAGGACGTAGTAGTCACTGATAAAGATTCCTAATACCTTTATTGCGACAGGCGTCTGGTACCTATGTCTTGTGTAATGCATAAACAAGGTGCAACTAGACTGACAAAGGCATTTGTAGATGTTCCATCCGCTGTAAAACTGGAAGGAACCTTTTGGACTGGTAGAACTTTATTCTTGTACAAAAGAGTACAGACTTTGCAGTAGATCTGTAAATAGAATCTGAATCAAATGAATGATTCTGTCCAGGGCTCGAACATGTGTAATATCAGAAAACGCATTATCAGTTCTGGGAAATACAGTTTATGTAAGGTTTGTACAACCTGCATATTATTTAGGCTTTGTAAAAATTGTAATTTATAAAAAGCTTGAAGACGGAGCTATTCAATTTAGTTAGGCTTTGTTAATTGTATGAAGTATAATTTGTTTAGGTTTTGTAGGAAATGCAATTTATTTGGACCCTGTAGAAAGGTATTTTCTTACCTGTTTTTGTATGCACTTTACGAAATNTAGTTAGGCTTTGTTAATTGTATGAAGTATAATTTGTTTAGGTTTTGTAGGAAATGCAATTTATTTGGACCCTGTAGAAAGGTATTTTCTTACCTGTTTTTGTATGCACTTTACGAAATAATATTTTTGTTTTCACCGAGAGCTTTTAAAATTATAGGAGCTTCTGACCTTAGAGATAGAAGATAGAAAACCTGTGAATATTCTATGGAAGTTTCCAGCGTAGTATTTAGTAACAAAAAAATCGATTTGAGGAAGACACGATTAAATGGGAAAAAAAGGGAAGATTTGTTTTTAAAAAAACTTCAGTTGTGCTAGGTTGGCTGTAGCCTCCTACGGAGACGCTCTTTGGGCTCGTCACGTAATCTTGGACGCACTTTGGGCTCGTCGCGAAATCTTGGAAGGAGCACAAAGAATGTCTCCGTATGGAGGCTACTAGGTCGGCTGGCAAACGAAGTTTAAGTCAGCTTTAACTGGAATTAATCACTGTGGCGAATTTAAGAAGCATTAAGCTGACATTTCTATTGTCAGCCCTCTGAAGTAGCCAAGGGCTACCGAAATAATTAAATACGAAAGCCTCCTTTCTAATTTAACCATCCCCACCCACCCTCTATCAATGTGCGCACATGTTATCAGCCAACCAGAGACGCCAAAAGAATTTGTAGATGACATCATCATCATCATCATCATCATGGGATCATCATCGTGGAATGTTAGGAGTTAATAGGCAACGTTCTATATTTCAATATTCTAACATGGCTCCGAGGCTTTCAGGTCAAAATTGCAAGGTTTTTACCTTTTGTCCCTTAATTCCCAAAAGAAAATACCAAGAAATATAGAAGTTTGTCTTGAAAGCCTCGGAGCCATGTTAGAATATTGATATTGTAACCGCGTATACTCAGGCTAGCTTCGCCTACCCCTTCCGTGCAGCCTAGATTATAAGATTTTCGCATAGAGGCTAGTCCGTCCGTAACTATTCTTATGTTCTCTCTGTCGATTAACTAGTTGGAATAAATGCGGATAATTTCAGCAGATAGAGGATCAAGGCCAAGTCGAACAATTGCATCGTCCACAAATTGTACGCAGCGAGACTCGAAATTATAGAAATGCCCCCAAGTAATAGAAAATTAAAATAAAATAAAAAACGCCCCCAAAATGACGCGTACACTTGCCGTATTTGTAGAGCATGGTATGAGTAAACAATTGCCTCCATTTGGCGCGAAATTAAAATATGCTCGGATATTTGTCCGCGGACATTATCTGTTCCGAGTAACGAACAGTTTTCCGAGAACGTAGCTCGAGGAAAGCTGTGAGCTTAGAGGAACCATGGATAGTAGAAGACTGTACTATCCATGGAGGAACAGATAATGCCCGTGGACAAATATCCGAGCATATTTTCGCGCCAAATAGAGGCTATTGTGTCACGCGAAGTGTTTAGAGCAATCGCGCGCGTGGGAAAATATTTGATGGATTATAATAGCTCATATATGCGTGCTAAGCCAATGAAATCTCTCGAACTGGATTATCCAATGATCCGGTTTTTAATAATGGAGAATATCCCAGAAATATTCCTCAATTTTTACATGTAGAAGATCCCGCGTGTTGCGAAAAAATATTTGAAGGATAATAAACACAATACTTGATTCTCCATTTGACTTTGCCCGGATATTTGTCCTTAAACGTTATCCCTTCCTCGAAGCTCGCGGAAAACTGTTCACTTTTCGCAACAGATAATGTCCGTGTATAATCCGAGCATGTTTTAGCACCAAATGGAGGTTATTGTTTATATAATTTGGTATTTTTAATACACTCTCATCAAACTGATGATGTTAGGGTAGGGTACTGAAATATAACTTGTATTACATTACTATGGGAGGTTTCTGGTGACAGAAACTTTGCACCTTCCGGTCATTCCCGGTACATATAATGCGTCAGTCAATTCCAGCAGTTTCCATCTCCCCCCTACCCCCCGGGCTAAACCCTGGCCATTAGCATATTTTTTTAAAAAATGGGCAAATTCCCAGGGATGGGGACACATAAGCTGTCTAAATGCCCCGGGGTGGGGACGAAGAAAGAGGGCAAATGCCCCGCCCCCGG